CGTACCACGGTGCGTTCGCAGCTCGACGACAGAAGAGGTTCTGAACTATTTGGAGTTCATTTAAAATGTTAGGGTTTGCGTGGGCAAAGACGGGGCCCGCGTAGGACATGACTGGTCGTATACATACCTTGTAGAGGGTACGCTTGTTTCGAAGGGACATTTTACTGTGTCGGCCCAACATACTGTTGAGCCTACTCAGATAAAACCGTGCGTGACGGGTTACTCTTTTGACGTGGGGCTTGAAAGTGAGCCCTGTGTCTAGAGTGACACCTAAATATTTGGCGGACGTATGCCAGGGGACAGGGGTCCCTAGCATACGTATTGGTGGAGTGTTTTTGAGACGGCGTCGTTTATAATCGAAGTGGACGGCGGAGCTCTTCTCCGGGTTCACATCGATGCGCCATTTTTTGAACCAAGCTCCTAGGTCATCAACTGACTTTTGGATCTTGTTCCGTATAAGGGGTAGTGAGACACCTTTGCAGTAGATGGCAGTGTCATCTGCAAAGAGGGAGAGTTGAACACCTTTCGACGGGATGGGAATGTCGTTGGTGAACAGGATGTACAGCAGAGGAGCAAGTACTGAGCCCTGAGGGACACCAGCCTTGATAGTTCGCTGTGAAGAAAGCGTGCCTTCGTGTCTGAAACGAAAGGTACGATGTTTTAAATAGGAGGCCACGAGACGATCTAGACGATCGGGGAGACCTATTTTATAGAGCTTGTAGATGAGGCCTGTGTGCCAGACTCTATCGAAAGCTTTGGCTATATCGAAAAAGACCGCGATGGTCTTATGACGACGAGGATAGAAACCGCTGAGGATATATTCCACAATGCGGTGAACTTGTTGGGGACACGAGTGTTTAGCTCGGAAGCCGAATTGATGGGGAATGATAAGAGGGTCGCCGTCTGTGGGAAACAGATAGCGCCTCATACGAATTTGGATGACTCTTTCGAAGAGCTTGCCCATTGCCTTGAGGAGGCTAATGAGGCGATGGCTGGAGGGGAGGTTGAGAGGCTTGCCTGGCTTGGGAATTCCAATCACAGTAGCCTCTTTCCACGTAGTGGGAAAATAACTAAGGTTGAAGCAGGCGTTGAAGATAATAGATAAAAAGGTTAACACCTGCTCGGGAAAGTGTTTTAGGGCTTGGTTGGAGATGCCATCCGCGCCCGGAGCCTTTTTAGGCTTAAGACCTTTGATGAGGGATGAGATCTCATCATTGGACACAGAGATAGGTTCGGAGGCCGTGGGGGGTGAGTTCCGGCGGCGGACCTCATCCTCCACTGCCTGGACGTGTGAGGGGTCGACGGGTTGAGAACTGGGAGAGCATTGAGCGGCAATGCTATCTGCAAAGCACTCAGCCTTTTCCTCGTCCTCGAAGGCAACCGTGCCGTCGGGACGGGAGAGAGGGGGAGTGTGGGTGATAGCGTCTATGCGGAGGGCTCTAGCCATCTGATAGTACGCTGTGTGAGATGGAGAGATATTCTCCATGAGCTTACTCTTTTCGAGGTCTCGAAATACAGAGAGGCGGAAGCGGAGTTCTCGTTGAAGACGATTGGCCGCGCGCCTATATTCGGGGGTGGGATATTTTGCTGCTCTCCGGAAAGCAGCTTTTTTGGCTTTTAATAGGTTGCTAATATGTAGGGGAAGCCCACTATTGTTAGCAACCGGGACGACCCTTTCGTTCTCCTTAAGGGAGGATTTAATAAGGGTGGAGAGTGAGTCGACCGCGGTGTCGATTTTTTCGGGACTATCTAAGTCCGACGGTAGGGAGATGGTAGAGTCCTGTGAGTCCAAAGCTTTAGCTAGGGACTCCTTGAATCCCTTCCAGTTAGTGAAGGTTTTCGTGTGTGTTGGGGGAGGTGGCTGATGGCCAAGAATGAGGGAGACCGGTCGGTGATCTGATCCTAGATCGTCTAGTGTCTCGATTGCTCCGAGGTTGAGAGAAACTCCTTGGAGTAACGCAAAATCTAACACATCGGGGGCGTGATCGGTGTTATCGGGAAAGTGAGTAACACCGAGAGGACTATGGACGGTAATATCAAGAGACTGCGTGATATCGAGCAGTATCTTGCCACTAGGGGACGTAGTGCGGCATGTCCATTCAGTATGCTTGGAGTTAAAATCTCCAAACATAATGACTGAATTGCCTAAAGATAAGATGGCCTCAAAATCCTTTTTGAGGGGATAGGTTCCTGAAGGGATGTAACAGGAGGCTATGAGGATGGACTGATGTCCAGTCATAGCTAGCCTGCATACCGTGACTTCCATGTTGGTAAGCTGCGGAGTAGAAATGGGCGAGCAATGAAGTGTCTTCTTGTAATAGATGGCCGTTCCGCCGCCTCGGCGGTCGGGTCTGTCGTTACGAAGAAGAGAGAAGTTTTTAATAGAAAGTCCTCTAGTGTCCTTAGCTTTGAGATTGGTTTCCTGTAGGAGGAGGAAATCGACTTCACGATTCCGAAGAAAGAGCTTGAGCTCTGGGAGGTTATTTCGCAAGCCGCGAATATTAAATGATACAAGCGATAAACCCTTAGGTTTGATACGACCGTGAGATCTAGGTAGGTTAATTCGCTCAGTCATTGAGGTTAAGTTAATTAAGTTAACCTAACTTACAACGCTAACAAAAGGTTATTGTGCTCCGCAAGAACGAGGAGACGTTCTTGGGGAGACTTGGCCGCGCGCAGTTTGCGTGATACTACTGTTATTTCCCTAACATCTATATTCCTAATAGCGGAATATAGCGTGTTGTAGTCGTCGATTGTGGGCTCTTCTTCATGAGCGTACGAGGTTGTCCGCGGTGGGTCTGCCTTTTTGGGCCCCCAGGGAAAGACTGGAGGCTGCATTGGCTTGGAGAAGCCCGGAGGGGGCCGAATTATGCCCTGAGGGGGTCTAGGGGGACCCTGAGAGGGTCGAGAGAAGCCCTGGGTGGGCTGAGAAAGGCCCTGACGGGGCCGTTGTTGGAGGGCCGGGAATGAGCGGTCATTCATCGGCGGTGGAGCTTGCCTACTGGGGCGAGGTTGAGGTGCGCGTGGGCAACCCTTGTAATTAGCCGGGTGTCCTGTCTGGTTGCACAGGACACAAGCGGGCGGGGATTCGGCGTCTTTGGGCCGGGGACACTCTTTCGTGTTGTGTGGTTCTAGGCACTTAACGCACCTGGGTGGGGCGGAGCAGTTTGCCGCCGCGTGACCATAAAGTTGGCAGCGGTGGCACTGCGCCGGGAAACCGGGCCTATGTGGGGGCTCTACCTTCACCCTTGACAGGCCACACACTATGCGTACCTGCCGGAAGATGGCTTTAGCCTCCGGCACGTTTGATAGGATTACTAGGGCAAGGTTGTATCTCTTGCCCGTTCTGTTGTGCATTTTGTGCACGGCTTCGACGGGAAAGCCTTGGGACTTAAGGTCCTCGAGTATTTCCTCGTTCGAGAACTCGAAGGGGACGCCTCGGATGACGGCCCTGACTTTACGCTCTTCCGGGAGAGCGTAGGTGTGGTAGGAGACTCGTTCGGCTGTGAAAAGCCTGGTGAGTTTTCGGAAATCCTCGATCGAGCTGGGGATGATTTTGATAGCCTCCCCGAGGTTGACAGCATTGTCGTACTTAATTCCTGCGTCGTAGCAGGTTTTCGACAGTTTGGTGAATCTGGCCTTGTCTCTTAGGAAGACAGGGGGCGGGACTTGCTTCTTAGCAAGGACTGGAGCACATCGAGAGGAAGGTTTAGATGGAGTTGGGATGTCAAGGGACATGAGCGGGATGGCGGCAGCGGCGGGGGCTGCGGAAGTTGGAGGAGCGGCAGGGGCCGCTGAGATAGGCGGGGTGCGTTTTATCAAGGCGCGCTTTCCGTTGCGCTTGGAGTTGACGGCAGTGAATGTGGACTCCCCGGTTCCGTCGGAGTCAGAGGACTCCGATGAACCGGAGCCTGTAGTAGTGGCGCGCCTCTTCCGGGAGGACGGCGCCGAGGACTCGGAGCATGCGTACTCCATTTCTAGGGGGGCAGATTCGAGCGGGGCAAAAGAGTTCCTCGTTTCGAGGTAAGATGCGATTACCGGTGGCGGATGGTGTGCCTGAGGGGCAGGGAGGGAAGCCTGGGCGGCGATGGTGGCGATGGCGGCGAGGACCGTCTCATTGCCATTTAAACCGAATTGGTTAATGAGGGCGGCGAGGGACTCAGTGAAATTGGGTGTGGCCATTTTGGGTCAGTAAGCAAGCTGAGCTATGTAAAAATAAAGATGAGGACGGGTCCCTGTTCTCGGTAGAACAGGGACTAGATCGCGAGACGTACTACGACACACTATACACGTAATACAAGAATAACAAGAACACAAGAAAATAAAGGAGACAGTACAAAAAAAAATTGAAAAATGATAATGAAAATGAAATGACAAGTGAAAATGAAAAATGAAAATGAAAAGCGGAAGTCAGTCAGACCTCCCTGCCCGAAGACAGGGGGGCAAGAGCCGTAGCGAGAAAGTGACTCACCGGCAGCCTCGACGCTGTTCCGCGTGAGCAGGACAGCGGAGGCGCGTGAGAGCGCGACAGCACTACCGTACTGTACGGGAGCGCGGACCACCTGGAGGCGACCGTCCGAGAACGATGCCGCCGGCGGACTGAGCACTGCGTCGGCGCTGTACAGCGCGAGCGGGACAGCGGGGGCGCGATAGCGGGAGAGCACTACAGTACAGGAACGAAAGCGCGGACTACCTGGATGCGACCGCTCGGAAGCGATGCCACAGGCGGAAAGACGGTTTGACGGTTACCGCACGATTAGACTTTTATAAGTGTTTGTGGATCGTGGTGAGAATCGATTCCTTTTTTGGTGTTCGTACGGTGAAGTCGTGAGATCGGTGTCGCGAACCTGCTGCTCGGACTTTGTTTATATTAAACGTTTTAAATTCAAAATAAGTGATTGCAAAGTAGTAATTCCTATAGTGACTTTCAAAATCGTTAAACTTTAATTAAATTGTACAAAAACAGTGAATACTTTGTTTTGTGCTCGCATTCAACCCTAATGACGCCCACTAGACCAGTGGCCACCGATGACGATATCGAGGAGAATTGTGTTTCTCCGACATTAGAAGTGGGATCGGTGCAAGCACAAAACGCAGATAGATTGATCGACGCGCTTTATTTGAGGCGCAGCAAAATAGCATGTGGCTACCTACTTGTGGAGGCGCTATGCAACCCGCCGGCTATCGAGGACAAGAATATTGGATTGCCTAAAGTACACTTATTTCTTACACTTAGTAAGGCCATGAAAGGATCAGCTGCAACATGGTTGTCCCAAATAATTTTTCCTAATATGAAGTGGGTAGAATTTAAAGATATTTTTATTTTTCGTTTTGATACTTTAGAAACATGTGCAGCGACAATTTTAAAAATGTTTACTGGTAAACCGCAAGAACGTGAATTTGTCGCTGCGTATGCAAGTCGTTTATTTAAATAATTTGAAAATTAATTTAGATAAATCTCATTACATACAATTTAATAAATCTATCAATTCAAATCATAATATTAAACTTAATATACCAAAAATTTCTGAGAGTAACGTTAGATGATGATATATCTACGTTATCTATTTGTTCTTTTAGTAGTCTAGTTTATAAACTGGAAAGAACAAATAGATAACGTATGCCGTAGAATGTATATGCCCTTAAAATCGTTAGAAACATTACAAATATTAAGACTGCAATTGCAACGTACCACGCATACGTAGAGTCTATTCTTCGCTATGGAATTATAATATGGTGTAATAGTACTGACCGAAATAGGGCATTCGTTGCCCAAAAAAAAATGTATTCGTGCAATGTGCGGTATGTCGCCAGATATTTCTTGTAAACCAGTATTTAAGAGACTTGGTATATTACCCCTCCCGTCACTATACATTTATGAAGTTAGTATGTTTGTCTTTAAAAATAAGTCATTGTTTATTAAAGCGCGTGATATATATCCCCAAAACCGACGTGACCCAGAAAAACTAGTTCTAGATATTATTCCTAGAATCGTTAAATACAACAAAAGTTGCCTAAATATGTGTATAAAAATATTTAATAAACTACCTAAAGAATTTAAATTATTGAGTGAAAGATTATTTAAGAAATATTTGTTTAATTGGTTAAATACCGAATGTTATTATGACATAAAAGATTTTTTAGACTGTAATTAATTAATGTTGTTGATTCTGTATTTGCATGCTATTAACCATTGTTAGCGAAACACGATTGCACTAGACAAATTGTAAGATATTTTGATACCGTGATTCTTGCAAATAAAAATTTATGATTTATGATTTACCTCACTTATGTCACGATGGGGTAAATTAGACAAGGAAGAAGTTCAAAAATTTTATTAAACTAAGTTTGTATAAAAAGAGTTATTACAATATTAAGGAATTTATGGATGATAATAACCCCTGGGAAGGGTGATCGCTACCAAGCTATTTCTAATTTGTCTTGTGTTGTTAATTGTAAATATGATTGTAAGCTATTATTTGAAAAAAAAAATAGTCCCGCTGGGTTTCTTGCTGGTTCTTCCCAGGACAGAGGTTTTTTTGCGAACCAGTGGTAAATGAAAAAATTGACTTTCAATAAGTATTGTTTATAATCTACATTGAATAAAAAAGTTTCTGTTTCTGTTTCAAAGAAACGGTGGTATCTGTAATACTCGCTCACATGGGGCAAGTCGAACCAAGGTTGCAACGAAATATTTTTTAATCACGATGCAACGTGCAACGCATAAGTTCATTATGGCATTTTCATATTGTAAGCGGAGTTATCAACATAATATAAAGGCTGTTGCAAATAATATGCAAGATATCAAACGTCCTAGGTTAAGTGTTGCTTCTACAAAATGTTTTGCTTGTGGAAAACTTGGCCATAGATCTTTTGTATGTTTCAGCCGTTCCCATGACAAACAGCAAACAACTCTGACTTCCGATCGCACCAACTCGGCCATGGCTATAACGAGGACCTCCGTGACATGCTACAAGTGAGGTGCTGAGGGTCATGTGGCATCACGATGCTCGAAAACGTGGCCAGTTGCAAGCGGCAGCACCCAGCCTGCCGCCACATCCAGCGTAGTAAAACGAGTATGAGAGAGATGTATGCGGTGTGAAACCTGTCACCGGGGTGATCACTCAAATTGGTGAGCAGTTTTCATTTTGATTCGATTCCGGTGCTGATTATTCACTGGTTTAAAAGAGTATCTCACTTAAACTTGATGGTGAAATGCGCCATGCATTTGCTACTCTGATTACTGTGTGATTTACAGGTTCAATCTCTGGTTACTCTTTGTGGTCATGACGTACAAATTTTATTTTACGTTATACTTGATGATTTTCTGAGTAATGATATTCTGATTGGACGCGATTTATTGGCTTCAGGATTTTCTGTACACATATCAAGTGACGAACTTACTATAATCGAAAAGACTTCTCTTGTTAATATTTGTGACGTAGGTAAGGCTAGTATGTAACTGACTTAGATAATGTAGATACCAACATTACAAATAATTTAAACCACAATTAATGAAACTTCTTGGCCGCTTTAAGGACTCATTTGTCGAAGGCCCGCCTACAAGTAGAGGAAAGATGGGTGAATTAGAAATTAAACTAATAGATCCTTAAGTGCTGAGGAACGGGTAATAGTGCGCAATCAGTGTAGTGAATTATTATTATCTGCTGGGGTTATTAAACCTAGTAAATCCCCATTTTTCTAGTTCCATCTTGCTAGTAAAAAGGATGGTTCTGATAAAATATTTGTGGACTATCGTATATTAAATCGAATAACGGTCAAAACTAGATATCCTCTCCCCTCGATCAACGACTATATAGATAGGTTAGGTAATGCTCACTGGTTTGCATTAACTTAAAGAGTTGCAGAAGAGTCGATTCATAAGACCGCATCCGTTATACTAGAGGTCCAGTATATTAATATTGCAAGGTACCCTACGATTTAGCGGCCGCACCGATTTTTTTTATCAGAAAAAAAAAGCTAACTGAAATAGGTTTTTTTTTCAATTAATTTAAAGAAATGTAGTTTTATTCCTAACGAAATAGAATACCTAGGTAGGATTATAAGAGATGTTCAGGTTAGACCAAGCAATTATAAAATTGATGCATTAGTTAAATCACCGTTAATCGCGAAAACAAAGAGAAACAAGACTCTTATGTTAATTAAAAGAGGAAACCGCCTAAAAAGTTTCAAGTTAAGAATTTGGTCCATGTGATTAAGAGCTCTCAAAGCACCGATATCTCATAGCTCGATAGCGGTTGAGAGCCCCTTATAAAGTTACTATATGAGGTCCAATTGTTAGCCGGTGCTTACGGAAAGACTAATCGGGCAGCCGCAGCATACATAGTGTTATGGAAGGGTGAATGGACGTACAGAATTTATAATCTATAGGAACTAATATTATAAATAAGAAAGATTTAATTAAGAAGTAAGCAATGCTCTCTGTGTTGTTTATTGCTCTGCTCTGCTATTGCGGCAAAAATTCATAGATTTTTGGCAACTTTGCCAACTTTAAATATTTCCGATATTATAAACCGTATCAAAAATCTTAAAATAGCTAAACATAAATGTAGAGCAATGCAGTATTATATTAAAATATCAGTTTAATAGTCATATTCATTGTCCTTTAAAATTGAGTGGGCAAAGTCAAAAACCCACCTAGAACATTTTTCTTACAATAACGATCAACGTCTAAGGGCTGTCACCATTAAAAAATGCTTCATTCCAATAATAAATGAAAACTTTTTATATATAAAATATTTATTGACATAATAAATTCAAATACTGTTTGTTTGAGTTATGTAGCGATTAACAATAAAGAATAAAAGGAATAAAAGTACAACATGTAATAGAATAAACTAAAAATACCTAAACTTATTTGAGCACAGGTTCTTTGGGTATTTTTTTATTTCGATTTAAAATCGAAATCAAGGAACACTTAAACATAGGTGTAGTGTGTACCCTATAATTTTACTTGCGACTATAATCAAACTAACTTATATTATAGGTCCAGCTTAAAGATAATAATCTTCAATGTAACATAACATCAAAAACACCTAAGGGATTTTTAAAATATGATTACATAAACAAATCAAATATGTCATCTATAATTAGTATTTTAATTACGTAAATATAATAGCAGCTATTCTTAATGTTTTAATTATTATACAAAATATTCTCAGTCTTATAGGAACAATTGTTACAATTGAGATCAAGTAAAACTTAAGCATAGATAAACAAAGAGTTTCTTATTTTACTTCAGACTGAATTTGCATTATATTATAATAATAACATAACAATTTAACAGGTAAGTTTTGCACTTAACAAAATAACTTTAGTTTACAACATCTATTTATCCATTCTTCTATACTATACTAAAACTCTAACACAACATCTGTTTGGACACGCATCACGCAAAAACCAGTGATCCAATTTAGATAAGACTTTCACTGGCGGATAACTGATGTTATAAGGAGCAACTTAGGCTACTTTTATTTTAGGGTTTCGCGGAAAATAATCCACGCAGGCGAAGTTGCGGGGAACAGCTAGTAACTTAATATTTTATAATAAGATTATTGTATATTATAACTAGAAAAATCAACTTCGAACACCAATAATTACTAGAAGGGGCCAAGTTATTGGCCCCTTCTAGTAATTATTGGTTGCGGTAAGACGAGAACAACGTCATCTACGTGATGCATTTCATAAATATCTTTGACAGCTGGATACGTAAAGGTTAATCTTTTGCTATTTGCAGTATTTTTAACTTTCCTTAGAAATTCTATTGTAGGGATATTATTTCTAATAAATAAAATCCGTCCAACAAAGTGCTTGACGCTTTTTTTCGTAGCAAATTTAGCTATGAGCCAGTCACCTTCGTTTAAATTATCAACATTGCTTGTGAAATACTCAATATCACTGATCCCAAACGGGATGTCCGGCTCCAAGTTTTCTTTTTTCGATGATCTTGTAAACAGATTTTTATGTAGTCATTTAATGTTTCATATTCCGAATCATCTGATTCTGTTATACTCAATTGAAAGTCGGAAATTTCAGAGCTTGATTCACTAATTTTTTTTTAAAATTTCTTCTTATTCACAGATGCTGTTTTCCTTGATTTTGTTTTGATTTTATTAATTTTACTCCTTTTTTTCACGCTTTACGGATGTGGTTCTAGTCATACTTTTTCGTTTTCGTGTTGTATTTTCTTCTTTTTGCATATTTATGTATTCATTATTTTTGTCCGTTACGCTTGAATCATTGTTTATTTTATTTATTTTATCCCTTGTAAATAATTTCATTTTCAGTGCTGATTGCGTAATAACTTTAGCACCAGCATCTATTTGGATCCTTAAGTTTTTCTGTGTTTTTATTTCCTTACAGTCTAATTTTACATTGGAAGTTATTGTAACATTTGTTTGATTTGTTGATTGCAAACATGGTGGCAAATCATTATCATTTATCACTATAAATGGCAAGTTCTCTTTGTCACCTTTTCGATTTTTGCTTAATAAATGCACATCATTTGGTGATAGAGGAGTAGTGTAATTTATTAAGGAAATCATATTATTATTTATAACTGTTATACAGATTTTACTGAGACTATCTGGATTATAAAGCACATGGTATATATTTGACCATAGGAACATTTGTAAATTATTTCTATAAACATTTTCATTTGACGTCGAAGGCATTTCGTTAGATTTATTGGACGGAAAAACTATACCTTCATGTTCTATCTTCTGGGTAGTTTCAATATGTTCAGGTGTGTTTTTTAAAAAAAATCCCATTTTATCATCCAATACGAGCTCATTTTCTTCTATGTCTCTTTCAGTAGTCACTTCTTCTAATATATTTATCTCACAATCTTGCCTGCTGCTTTCTATATCATTAAAATTATCCTGATAGTTTTCAAATCTTTTGGATTTCTTATTTTGAACACTTTTGTTACTAGTTGTTTTTATTAAAATATCGGCGGCACAAACTGACTTGCCTGGTTCTGTACGTAATTTCTTACTCCTTTTCACTGCCATTGGTTTAGAACACCTTGTTTTTTGTAGGTAATCTAATAAAGTGGAATCTATTCTGTATACTTCTTCGTCAAAATACTCAGGTATTCGTTTCAAAACATTTCGGGCATTAACTGGCCATATTCCCGCGGCTCTAAATCCACTTTTAATATTATTACTTTCTCTGAGATTAATATTTTTTAATAATTCGTTCAAGAGTTTAGGAAAGTGGTTTTTATTAATAGTTGACTGTTCCGGATTTTGAATTTAGTAATTTGTGAGTACCTTCCTCCATTCTCTTTTTAAAGGGGCAAAAAACGCTACATCTAGAGGTTGGGTCAGATGTGTGGAGTTAGGTGGAAGAAACACAAACCTAATATCATATTTTTGGCAGAGCTCCACAACTTCGATATTTAAGTGACTAGACAAATTGTCACCTATTATGACTTTTGGTCCTGATAGATTCTTTGCCCACTTTAGTATAATTGTTCTAAAATAATCCTCAAAATAGGCAGAGTCAAACCAACCCGATTTCGTGCAATTATAACGAGTTCCATCAGGACCTCCGTCAACCCATTCGGAATATAGATTTGTAGCTTTATATACTACATATGTTGGAAGACAGTCACCAGCTGCAGACACCGTAAAAAAAAAATTTCTACCCAAGTGTTTCCGGGCATTTTTCCATTAAAAATATGACTGCGTGAATTTTTTTCTAAATAATTAAAAACAAGCATTTTCAGGTCTAACTTGGTCATTGGAGAACCATAGTCATTGACAGCTACCAGAACATTTACAAGATTTTCTTCTTCGATTTCTGTTAGTTGTTTTTGTCCCCCAACCGTTTTCATGTGCACTTCTTTTGCCTTATTTATTATGGTCCTCCGTGGTATCCCGAATTGTTTTTCGGCTTGTCTACTAGAAATAACATTTTTTTTACTAGGTCTACTGCTATATCCAACGTTTCCTTAGAGTAGTTTTGTAATTTCTGGATCCTAGTTTCCCTCTATTTCTTTTTCTTTTTGTACCTACATGTATTTGATTTATTATTACTGTTCATCCTATAAAAACAAAAACAGTATATCTGAGAAACTATAAAAACAAATAATAAAAAGGTTACAAAATGCGGAATTACGCAGAAGCGTAGAATACTATATGTAGAAAATACCTCCAACATCAAATAGCCATCAAAAGTCATCCAAACACGAATTGAACAGAGATCTTTCATTTGTGCTACTAACAAAAATTACAGCAAATGAAAAGGTTACAGATGACAACCCTACGGGTAATAAATTGGTGGGCAATGTTGTCAACAATGCTCAAAAAAGAAGTGTGTGACTTTGCCCACCAACATATTAGGTGAATTTATGAAATTTTTTGCGTAAATAGTAGTCTATATTATCCATTTTAAATATATTTACGGTTGTAAAAAAATTACTTACCTGCTGTTACTGCAACTATCACTTTTCGGTAAAGTTTTTGTGCTGGTTTTTGCCCACCAAAAAACACTACCAACTTATACAAGTTCTGACAGGCAACTGAAGTTACATAGATGACATAACATCACTTAGTGTTGCTAGAAAAATAATGAATTTTATACTACAGACAAAAAAATACTCCTAAGTTATGTCAAATTCGCTGTGTATCAAGTTTACCAAAAAATACCCAACTTAATACCTAAAAATACACAACAAAAGAAGAAGCGATTGAAACGAACCAGGACTCTGAAGTCTTTGCCAGAGATCTGTCTGCCAGAAAGAGCCAACTGTCAAAGCTGAAAACTGAGTGTGGCCGCATCGTTTCTGGGACACCAGAGATATTGAGTGAGATTGAGAGATTCTATGGGTAGCTGTACACATCATCGTTGGAACCACACGCAAGTGTGAGTAACGATCCAAGACCAAGTCTTATCCGACACTATTCCGATGATATCCCGGACGTCAGTCTGACCGAGATTAGAATGGCTCTCCAGCACCTTAAAAACGGCAAGTCACCGGGCGAGGATGGAATTACAGCGGAGCTTCTGAAAGCGGGTGGAAAACCGGTACTTGCAGTCCTTCAGAAGCTCTTTAATTCCGTCCTCCATGATGGCACTACTCCCAAGCCGTGGAGCAGAAATGCGGTGATCTTGTTCTGCAATAAAGGTGACAACACTCTCTTGAAGAACTACAGACCGATATCCCTTCTGAGCCGCGTCTACGTGCTATTTTTGAGAGTCATTACGAATCATCTCGCACGCAGACTCGATAACTTCCAGCCTCCCGAACAAGCTGGTTTCCGAAAAGGCTTTAGCACCATAGACCACAAATTTGGGCGGTGTAACAGTCTCTTCAGCTTTGCCAAGTTGACTGTCGGTATTAAGAAGTGCTGAACTGTTTGTACAGTAGGGCTACGATGGCTATCCGAATACAGAACCAGAGTACGAAACCTATCCAACTGCAGAGAGATATAAGACAGGGTGACGTTATATCCCCGAAACTCTTCACGGCTGCATTGGAAGACGTTTTCAAGCTACTGGACTGGAAAGGATACGGTTTTAACATCAATGGCGAGTACATCACTCGCCTTCGATTTGCCGACGATATAGTCCTTACGGCAGAATCGCTGGAGGACCTAAGCGCTATGCTCAATGACCTCAATAGTGCCTCCCAACAGATAGATCTTAAGATAAACATGGACAACAAAGATCATGTTTAATGTCCATGTCACATTTATGCCGGTAGTTGTTGGGAGCACTAAGCTCGAAGTTGTTGACGAGTAAGTTTACCTGGGACAAATAGTCCGACTAGGTAAGTTCAACTTCGACCGAGAGGTCAATCGACGGATTCAACTCGGATGTGCAGCGTTCGGGAAATTACGTTACATCTTCTCGTCAGGTATACCTCAAAACCTGAAAACGAATTGTACAACGAGTGCGTCGTTGCCAGTGATGACATATGGAACTTAGACGTGGTTCTTCACTGCTGACCGTATAAGGACGCTCGAAGTCGCTCAGCGAGCTATGGAGAGGGCTATGCTCGGTGGTTTCTGTGCGTGATAAACTTAAAAATAAGGATATCAGCAGTAGAACCAGAGTGACCGACATAGCCCAACGAATTAGTAAGATGAAGTGGCAATGGGCCGGTTACATAGCTCGAAGAACCGACAACCATTGGGGAAAAAAGGTTCTCGAGTGGCAGCCTCGTAGCGGTAGGCGAGGTGTAGGGCGAACCCCACTAGATGGAGTGACGAGTGACGACCTGGTAAGACATGCAGGAAGTCGATGGAGGATGCAGGTGGCTCAGGACCGTGTTTTATGGCATACCTTTGGGGAGGCCTATGTTCAGCAGTAGACTTGTGAAAGGCTGTAATGATGAAAATGAATGACTCCCTTACTCTTAATTACACTACCCTGATTAAGAGCGTAGGGACCCTGATTCAGGGTAGTGTAGTAGCCACTCTAACGTCCACCCCACGCTGGTGAATATGCGTCAAATGTCCGACTACTCGCTGCCTAGAGCCGCGCGAATCTGTCCCCGCTGCTCGGTAACAAAAACCTTTGTAACAGCTAAAATATAATAGCCACTGCAAAGATAAAAATATTGAAAAATAACTAGATTGAACTTATCTATTTGAAAAATCGATAGTGATGACCTATTATACTTAAAATAAGGTTTGATGTCAATTATCGAGTAGAAAATTAAAAAAATTCCACTTCCATAAATTTGTTTCGTAAGCATAAAATATAGTAATTTTTACCAACACAACATTGAAAAGAAAAACTAGATTCATTTCCCTTCAATATGATGCTAATATTTTGCTATTTGAATATTTCTAAGTAAACTGCTCAGTAGCTCTAAAATCTAAAATAATTTTATTTAGTAAATATAACCCCGAAAAAGTCGTCTATCCCACTAATATTTTTCGGCGCGTTCTTTAAAATTTATCCCGTATAGTGGTGCCACCCTTATTTAACGGTTTTCTACGGACACGTTTTAATACACAGTCGGTACTCCTTACCTCTACACTCCATACTCCATAATCTATTAGTTAGTCGGTGGTGTAAGCAATGTACTCGTAGCATTCTCTATCTACGAATGTACTATTCAGTAATCTATGCAATGTGGGATTATGACCAGTATTGCCAACTTGACGCGTTTCCCGTTAGATTTGACGGGACAGCAACGTTGGCGACGGGAAAAAATTGTGTTTAACGGCTAACGGATTTTTAACGGCACAACAAAAATTTATGTTTTTGTAGATTTGTTTTCGAAATAAAAATAATTTGGAAATGGTAAAAATTAAATTATAATAATTTCGTACTGCGAGAGCTTTCACCGTCGAACATGGCTACAGGTTTTGCTGGCTGCGGAACGGATCCATATTTATTAGGAAAGAGCATGTCAAGGAAGGTAGCCCCGCAATACGTACAGGTCGGAAAATGATCTCAGCCGCCTGCTCTGTGCCCAAACCAAACCAGATACGGCAACCACTCAGTAAACGTTATTTGAGCCTCAAGAGCCTAGTCATTAATATTTTGTAACTAATTTGCAGTCCATATGGTCACCATTTTTCTTATATACTTATCATAACTTTGAATTTAACTCCTCACAATTGTAAGGGCAATCACACACACATTTTAACACATCTACACATCTCTCTCCCATGGTATATTTCTCAAAATATTTCGTGGTTATCTATACCCCTTCTTATGTTTATATGGCACTCTCCCCTTTAATGCCAAAATACTCCAATCAATTTTTCACGATCTTCCCATGGCTTCCCTAGAATTGTTAGATGCTATAGATAATTCATCTCAGATAAAGTGCCACAACATAACGGTCCCAGAGGATTGTAAAGACGTTCTGTCTAGATTTTCATTTAGATTTTAAGCATGAACATAATAAGCATGCGTAAAAACTTTGATAACTTCCTAGTAACCCTAAAAAGATTGGATCGTGATTTCGACGCTATTGTCTTCAGTAAGTGCTGGCTTAATGAGTTTGCGACGGTCCCCCTATTGCAAGGATTTACATCATTTTACT